TACTTGGCTTACTGTTAGTTGGTTAGACTAGTTCTTAAGAAAAGAGAAAGGAAAACTTGAAATCGCATCATATGACCCCTTTAACACAGAGGATAAGTTTATGCAACTGCCCTGAGGTATTTTGAAAATCTAAAATAGCAGAAAGTTTTCTGTAAGGGGTAGGTTTAGGGTAAGGGGATAGAAAATACAGTTTTGACAGTATAAAAACCATTACGTCTATGGAATGTCCCCACAAAAAATGAAAACCATTATGTGTGTGTGGGTGAAGCAGGTTTTTGAGATTGATATCTGCATACAGTGGTCTGCTATTATAATTGAAATTATGACAATGGCTTAATAGATAATGAAATACATTGTGATGGAAACAAATATGACAATATATATAAATATAACTGTATACGTAACCGTATACAGCCCACAATGTCTTTTAGTACGGCCCGCTGGATCATATTAGACTCAGATGATCAATTTTAAAACATTTGAAAAGTAAGTCAGGTAAAGATTACTTTCAGTTTATAATGTTAATACTATCTCCAACCAGGAGAGGTCGCTAGTTTCCAGCCGCTCCCCGTGTTAATTTCAGCGCAGTAGGGCGTGCCCTCTGATGTAAATATTCATTAACGTTAGCAAATAATAAATGAAAAACTGACCATGAAAACAGTATTTTCCAGTCAAGATGGTAAATAGATTATCTTTTTAACAATTTAAAGGGGATAGCCATATGTTTGGAAATCTGTACTTTATTTAAATCGCCATCACATCACTGCGCACAAACAACGGGGATGCCAGAGTTGCACTTGCCTCAAATTTCAAAGGTAAAATTCATTTTCAACAAAAGCTTTTTGCCAAATGCATGACAGAAATGTTTGCATTAAACTATGTTCTTAGGGTTTCCGCGGGTCCTTAAAAAGTCTTCAGTTAAATCGTTTAAATTTAAGGCCATGAAAACTCGTGATGATAATGATACAGAATGTCTTAATTATAAGAGGTCTTAAATTTGGGGACGGAAAAACAAGAATTGCTATATAGATTAATATGATGATTAAACTTCAAAAGGCTATTATTTCACTGAATAGATATGAGTGCTGCACGTTTCAAAGTCAAGCACTGCTTTGTGTACTGCCGTTACCGGGGAAACCGCTATATTTCTGCCATTCTGAAAGTGAAACCTGCTGGCAGAGAACAAATTTGCTTTTTCAATAAGCCCTTCTGCTATTTTTGCTACATATTTTTAAATGTGAACCAGTGGATCGACAAAAAGCTAATGCATTATAAAAATCTAAACAATTAATAATAATAATAATTTAATAATAATAATAATAATTAAGACATTAAGATATATTTATATGTTATTTAATATAATAATTGATTGATAATAATTGTTTCAATTAATATAATAATTGAAACTTTTGAGTTATCCCTTTTCTTAAAAATGGTTTAAGCTCATATTTAAGACTTTTTAAGACCTTTTTTAAAACCTGCACAAATAAAATTAAAACAACTGTAAAAAGCATGATTTCAGAGTTCAGATACAGGTTTTCACAAAAACAAAACATTTTTTTTTTAATTATTAACTTCACATTTCAGCCTTTAAACTTTTTTTTAAGAGAATTGAGGCAAAGGTATCAATTATTATACTAATTTAAACAATTATCAATAAATTATTATAGCCTATTAATTAAATAACATATTTAATTAATTAATTATTTAATAAATTATTAATTAATCGATTAAATTTGATACAACTAAATTTAAGACTTTCTAAGGACCCTTCAGCTTTTTTTTTTTTTTTTTTTTTTGAGAATGCCATTGTTTTTCAATCACTTTGTGAGGGTTAGGTTTAGGTGTAGGGCGATAGAAAATACAGTTTGTACAGTATAAAAACCATTACGCCTATG